CTCCCTTCATCTTGTCCCTAACGACTGCTTCTCAAGCAGGCTTTAATTAATTCTGTTGCAGTGAAGGTCTGATGACAGTTTTTGGTCCACTGTCAACTTCAAATTTTCTTTTASTGCACTCCAGATGTAATGCTTGAAGCACACCCTGTGACTTCCTAAAATGTCTCTAAAATAGTTCAATTTTAAACTGTGTTGGTGATATTGTTACCATTCACAAATGTAATTGTGGTATTTTGTGTTGAATCACGAATGCTTTGCCACTGGTTTTTCAATGCTGTCATCCTTTTGTGGCTTCATTTGTCCCCATTATGGTCCAAAGTATCATTTTTATGTAGTAATTTCCAGTTCATTTGTATCTTGTATACAAGTCTGTCTACAGCCATTTTTATCCTGTCAGCTGCCATGTCTGAAGTCACTGAATGAGCTCAGAAAAAAAAATTGATGGAAATTTCTGAAACTCTGGCAAGGTTTATTGATATAGATTCAAATTATTTACCTTAGAGATATTTCTACCCAGGCTAAACAACTTCTGAGTACAAAACTGGACAGAAAGTTATGTAGAAAGACAAAGTAGTATCACATTATGATTTATTTTTCATGTGATATTTTAAGTAAGTAATCTTTTAAGAAAAGGCTTCAAGAAGATAAAAGTCACACTTTTAACAAGTACTGATCAAGATCTGTGCTTTCACACATAACATTGTGAGGGGACACAGGACCTTGAGTTTGGACTAAACTGGACACAATATATGGTGCAGCTGGTCTTCCTGTCAGGATTTGGATATGTGTAGGCCAAGTATCTTGCATGGCAAGAAATCAAGGGGTAATGGAAACCAGTACAGCTCATACCTTTTCTGTACAGTTCACATATATAGGAATACAATTTTAAACATTTGTTTCAGGCATATGTAATTCTTGGATGACAGCCCGAATCTCATTAAATSTGTATATGATTCCCAATGATTGTTTCATTTAAAGCATTCTTGGCAAATGTTTTAGAAAAAAAAATTCTATTATTGGTTATATGAAGTATTTAAAGGGGCAAGGTCACATCAAAGATAGTAATATATATCTTTAATGTATGTTGGCCTTGCTGGCATCCAGTGGTGTTTTAAAAATATTCTTTTTACTGCTATCCAGATAAGAACATTCCACTGTGAAGAAATGCTGTAGCATAGCAGATGGAGGTTAGAAAAGCTTATGTATTTAATGTGTTATTAGGAATTTATTACCTGTCCACCAACTCCAAACCGTGTGTCTGTTTATAGACGGCTGTGAAGCAGTYTTCCTTTATTATTTAAGGACAGAGTTTAAAGATTCAGGAGGTCTCTCCTAGTCCCACATCTGTACATTGTAAATTCATCATCCAGTGCATCATGGAATTCACTGACAAAATAAAATATGGATTGTGGCTTCCTTGAGTCAATGGTCCAAATTAAAATTTATTGTTTGGGAGAAGCCTTGGAGGAATAGTGACATTTTATTATTTTAAAGTGAGATTTATGAAGAAAGGCTGCTGCTCTTGGTGTTCTTTATATTCACACTGTATTTAGAAGGTACTTTATTATTACTTTATTCTGTGTGGTATAATTAATGTTGGTTGTGTTATCTTTTCCCCCCAGAATATGCTAATGTTCTGTGCTGAGTCTTAATGGTAATAGCTCAACTTTCTACCAATGAAAAACACAGTGACAAAAATTCTGTTTATACATAACTTGAGCTACTTGAGTGTTAACAAGACAAAAATAACCACACTTCTGTATAAAGATAATATATTCTTCGTTTAACTGCAAAATAAAATTCAATTGCAGTAAAATATAATTTCATTTTACACAAGCATAGAAACCCAAAGTGTGTGGAATCCCAGGTGCTCTCTTTCAATGTGAAATTTTAAGTGTGCATCACTGCAATTCTCCCCTTCTTTTGGTCAAACTGGGATAAGTGTCTGGGGTGACCTCATTACAACCAGATTTCTGACTCACTGTGAGTACATTGAGCAGAGYTGTGTCCTGGCTCAGTTTAACAGCAGACCTTCTCCTTTTCACCCACTGCAAAAACAAARCTTCTATTGATACTGAAATATGATATGGTTCAGGTTTTCCTCAAAAGAGGCTATGGGAAATAAAATCCATTGACAACCAGAGGGAAGATGGATTCAGAGAAAAGGACTACAGAGAGATATAGAAATGTGGATCAAGGTAAAAGGAGAGCAAATTCTCTATAAAAAAGAAATTCAGTGGGAAGAGCCATGGAACCATAGATGTAATTTTGCCACTTAGCTCACCAGGTTTCTTTTCCATCACTGTGCAAATGCCCCTATTAAAGCATTGTCAGAGTAAAGCAAGGAAATGAGGTGCATCTCAAACTTCATTTCTTTATACAGTGATAGTGAACTACCATGTGCATATCGATAGAAGGATTTATTAACTGACCAGGAATTGCTTCAAGTGCATTTTCCTGAAGTAAGTTTATTTATTTGTTGTTATATAGGGAGGGGRAAAGAAAGGAATTTGGATAGTGCAGTTGGCAGGATTTTACTAGCTAGTCCAATATAAAAAAACATTTTGAGGATTTCACTTTCATTTATACTTTGCAGCATTTGGAACATAATTTCTGGTATGTTTTCTCTTATGTCCTTAAATTTATGTCTTTATGTTCCTTTCCTCTTATGTCCTTAAATTTTATGAATAAATAGAAATTGCCACCATTTTTATTTYAGTGTTTATTTATATTTAATATATACTTAGTATTTGTTCCCATCTTGTACAAGTCAAAACTGTACAAGCCAAAACTCAATAAAGCAAAGAGCAATGGGAAATAAGCAGATTTACATTAGTGGTAAAAAAAAGTCCTTTTATTTCTGTCAATTAATATCCTTAATGTCAATTTATGCCAATAAAAATGTCAGTTTTTAGGAATATTTACTTAATTTTATAATACAAATGCATTTTCTGCCATAATTGTGAAACAATAATGTACTTTCTTTCCATGTAAGCTGTAGCTCAGATTATTGTACTTTCAAGAAAATACCTGGTTACACTTACTACTTCTTAATTCTCAATGAATCACTGACCACAGTGAGTGCCTGTTTGTTATCAATTACAGAATGCTACACTGACCTTGCGAGTGAAATTCAATAATCCTGGAAAYCTGCCTTGCATAAATCACAGACAYCTGATTYCCTTTTTCCATTTTACACTATTCTTTTCTGTTGAGGTTTACTTAAACACCTCCCTACAAATATTCTATAAAAATGGAACTAAATTAGTTCTTTGCAAGAATAAATTTGT